AAACACATAAGAGAGTAATTTATAGGTTATAGATTAAAAACATAGATTATAAGATTTTGATAAGTGATAAGCCACCCTAATGAAAAGAAGGAGAGAAAAACCTCAAATTACTAAAATTCATGATGAAAAAGAAATATCATGACAGACACTATTGAAATACAGAAGACAGGCCTGGGGTTGTAGCTCAGTAGTGGAGCACTTGCCTAGCATGTGCAAGGCCCTGGGTTCAATCCTCAGCACCACATAAAAATAAAGATGTTGTGTCCACTGAAAACTAAAAAATATATATTAAAAATTCTCTCTTTTATAAAAAAGTAAATAAAATGAAGATATTGTGTCCGACTGAAAGTAAAAAATAAAAAAAGAAATACAGAAGATAATTAGAAACCTATTTTGAAAATGTATACTCTAGTAAAATAGAAAACCTTGAAGACACCAACAAATTTCTAGAGGCATATGATCAACCCAAACTGAATCAATGATAGGATTTTGAAAGCTTCAAAAGAAAATACCAGGTCACATTTGGAGAGAAGCCAATTAGAATTACTTCTGATTTCTTAGCAAAACTTTTAAAATCCAGGCAGTCTTGGATGATGTGTTCTAAGTCCTTTCAGAAAATAACTATCAAGATTGATACATCAAGCAAAGCTATCCTTCAGAATTAAAGATGAGCCAGGTGTGGTGGTGCACACCTGTAATCCCAGTGGCTTTGGAGGCTGAGGCAGAAGGATCACAAGTTCAAAGCCAGCCTTAGCAAAAGTGAGGCACTAAGCAACTCAGTGACACTTTGTCTGGTCTGGGGATGTGACTCAGTGGCCAAGTGTCCCTGATTTCAATCCCTGGTACCCCACCCCCACAAACAAAGAATTAAAGATGAAATAAAAACCTTTCAAGATAAGCAGAAACTAAAAAACGTCATGACTACTAAGCAGGTACCACAAAAAATACTTAAAGAAATAAAACAAAGAAGAAATAAAAAACAAACCCTTAGATTGCAAATGGACAAATTTCATTTGAAGAGTATCTAATCAAATGAATAGAGGACCAAATTAAACATGATAAGTAAACCAAGAGGGCAGGAATTGATAAACATCTCTCTATAGTAACATTCAATGCAAATGTTCTCAACTTTCCAATTAAAAGACACAGGCTGAAAGAATGGTCTAAAATATAAGACCAAACTATATGTTATTTGTAAGAGGCTCACCTTACAGGCAAAGACAGCCACAGGCTGAAAGCGAAAGGATAAAAGTGGATATCCCTGGCAAATGGAGCCAGAAAACCAGCAGAAGTAGTGACTATCATATTCAACAAAGTCAACTTCAAGCCAAAATTAATCAGAAGAGACAAAGAAGGTCATGTCACACTGGCAAAGGGAACAACCAAACAAGAAGATACAGCTGTAGTAAATATTTATGCCTCAAACATTGTTGCACATGAATACATAAAACAGAAACTCCTCCAATCAGACTCAGACTCCAGTACTACAATATTGGGTGATTTCATACAACTGTCTCACCAACAGATAGCTCATCCAGACATAACTCAATACAGACTGTTCAGTCTTAAAAATGTTATAAATAAAACAGACTTAACAGATATCTATAGAATTTCATGGAACTTTCTCTGAACTATACAATATTTAAGGCCACAAAACAACTCTTAGCAAATACAAAAAAGGATATAATTTCTTGCATATTATCTGATCATAACAAATGAAATTAGAAATCAACACATACACGCAAAACTATAGAAACTGTGTAAACTGATGGAGATTGAACAATACATTTTTGAATGATGAGTTGATGCTAGAGGAAATCCCAGTAGAAATTTTAGAAGTTCTTAGAATTAGATGATAATAGCAATGCAACATAAGAGAACCTCTTGGACACTATAATGGTGGTTCTAAGAGGAAAGCTTTTGAGTGCCTACATAAGGAAATCAGAAAGATCCCAATTAAACAACCTAATGATGTATCTCAACATCCTTGAAAAATAAGAAAAAAAGTAAACCAAAACTAGTAGAAGTAAATAAGATCAGAACTTAAATCAATGAAATGGAGAATAAAAAAAGCAATAAAAAGGATCACTGAAATAAGATGGGTCTATGAAAAGATAATCAAGATTGTTAAACCCTTGGCATAACTAACTAAAAGAAAGAGATAAGGCCCAAATTAATAAAATGAGAGATAACAAAGAAAAATAATCATAGACATCACATAAATCCATATTTATTAGAGAATATTTTGAAAATTTATACTCCAACAAGTTGGAAAGCCTAGAATAAATGGACACAATTTTAGACATATCGAACCAGCCCAAATTCAATCAGGAAAATATAGAAAACCTAAATAGAATAATATCAAGTAATGAAATTGAAACACCAATTAAAAGCCTTTCAACAAAGAAAAGTCCAGGACCAGATGGATTATAGATGGAATTCTACCGGACCTTTAAAGAACTAATCCCAATGGTCCTTGAATTATTGTATGAAATGGAAATAAATTAAATAAATAAATTATTGCTACAAAGCCAGTATCATGTTATACCAAAATCAGATAAGGACACATTAAGGAAAGAAAAGTACAGACCAATATCCCTGATGAACTTAGAAACAAAAATCCTTGGGTTGGGGATGTGGCTCAAGTGGTAGCGCTTGCCTGGCATGCGTGAAGCACTGATTTCGATCCTCAGCACCACATAAAAATAAAATAAAGATATTATGTCCACCTAAAAAAAAACCTAAAAAATAAATACTTAAAAAATCCTTAATCAAATATTAGTAAATCACACCCAATAACATATTAAGAACACATAATTTAGCACCCACTCATGATAAAAGCACTGAAGAAACAGGGGATAGAAGGAATCTACTTAAACATAAAAATGGCTATATATGACAAACTCAAAGCCAACAACATAGTGAATGGGGAAAAACTGAAAGCTTTTTCCTTAAAATTTGGGACAAGACAAGGATGTCCACTCTCACCACACCTACAGTGTTAGAAGTTCTAGCCAGAACAATTAGGAAAGAGAAGGAAATAAAGGGATAAAAATAGGAAAGAAGAAATCAAATTATCACTTTTGCAGATGATATGATCCTATACCTAGATTAAAAAAAAACTCCATCAAAAGACTGCTAGAGCTAATCAATTCAGAAAAGTAGCACATTACAAAATCAGCATACAAAAATCAATACTTTTCTATATACCAACAATAAATCTGCTGAGGAAGAAATTAGGAAAACCATCCCATTTACAATACTTTCAAAAAATTCCTAGGACTAAATCTAACCAAGGAGGTGAAAGACCTCTACAATGAAAACTATAGAACACTGAAGAAAGAAACCAAAGTCACAAGAAGCAGAAAAGAAAGTATTTCACAAGGAAGACAAAGGAAATGAGACAAAGAACATCTTTTTTATGGGTTTGGGGTTAAACTTATCCCAATTTCTGAAGATGTAGCGGAGGGCTGAATCTTGTGGTATGGACATCTATCTAGTTGCCCATCTGGAAGACAAGTCCAGAGTATATTAGAGGGTGAAGTGTCCCTCTATCCCTCTCAGCATGTGACCTGGTGGTGTTCTGGCCTTAGGCATTGTTATTGGCACTCTATCTTCCATTGGGTCTCCACCTGGAGATTCCTTACCCTATTGTCTTAATATACACCTCTGTGAGCACTGTAACCTGTTGGGCTTCCACATTCCAGAGGAGGTCTTTAACATTTTCCCCAAAGCATGATTACTTTCCTCATGATAGTCTTAAACCCTCAATGCAATTAAGGACAGAATGCTTCCAAACAATGGAAGCTGTGGGAGGCCTTACCCTGAGGGTGCCTGATTTTTCTCCACCATTTAAAAAATTTAGAATTCATTATAAATGATCAGAGTAATAGTTAGTCGACTTGCTTAGACTGATGAATAGGGTCCTGAGGCAACTGACAGAAAAGATGAAAAGACAAGGCAAGCATTGAATATGGTCTCCTATCCCTGTGGCACACAAGTAACACCTTTTTGCCCTGGACATGTTCAAGTAGCAGATTCAACAAAATGTCAGGAAATTAGACAGCTTGGAGAGTTTGAAGGGAGGGTTTTAAAATTTGGAAGAAGAAATGACCCCCATGCCATAAGAAGAGAAAGCCTTTTAGAGTCCTAGGGATATAATGTTGTTAAGGAGGGATAAGGGTGAGAGCTATCACTGAAGACTGTACAAAAGAAAGTAGTGAAGAGGAGTCTGAAGCATAGGATAAGTCCAAAGACAGAATAGAAGTGAAAAAAAGAGAAGGGAGAGTGTGGAGATCTCAATGTATGAAGGGGGGGGGGCGGGAGAGAGAACAGAAATGAACACATAAGGATGTACTAACACTTTTCATAATACATATATTGTAACTGCCTGTCTCCATTATCAAACTGGTTATTTTATGAGGCAGAATATTCTATGTGACTAAAAGTCATGGAATAATTATAATAATTATGACTCTACTGTTAACTAAATGAGTGAAATTAGGATGTATATGTGAATTCTTTAAAGTTTAGTTTTTTTCACTAGCAAAAATAAAAATAATGACTGAACCACTCTGGGTCTGTGTTTTCTTATATCTAAACTTGGAATAATTTTTGAAACTATGTTTGTAATAAAAACAGTTATCCTGGATTTAGAAAAATACAAATTAACGTGTGCTTGTCATTTTGAAGTCATACTAGAGTAATTTCTAATAAGCTTGACTGAACTTATCAGACTATCATTAGAGAATGGAACTTTGCTTTCCCAGTGTTTTTGACTAAAAATCCAAAACAGATAAAATTACAGATGATTTAGAGACATATAGGGTTAGAAATGTAAATATGCAGAAAGAATATGTTCTTGTGATTTTATAGCCCAATAGAGAATTTCTTCCTACTGGTTCTGTCCTTAGTAAATGACATTGTTTGAGAATTGTGATTTTACAAAGTTAATAGAGTTGTTGCAATAAAAAAAATAATAATTAATAACACCATTCAAATAATAATTACTGAATTAAATTTTATTGATGTCATCTAAGAAGATAATAGGAAGTGAGGTCCATTTCCTCTGGTCCTGTCAGCCCCATTCAGCCTTCAAAAAAGATAATAATCCATTTGTCTAAGAGGGTAATTCTGAGATGTATTAGTACTTATGGAATTGAGTAACCACTTGTCACAAATATTTACCTTGTTATATGCTGGAACTTAGTTGTGGCATACTTTAAATATGTGCTCATGGCTTTGATTAATAAATTTCAGGGTGTGGTACTGAGAGGCTTTGTTCTTTAGGATCATAGATCTTAAACTTTACTTTTAAAAATTATGTTAATGAAAATAGAAAGATGTGAGCTGTTCAGAAAAGCTACAACCCCACATCCAGATGAGGTACAATCTGTCAGATCAGAAGTCTTTCAGCAAAGAGGTCATATGGCAAACATTTATCTTGACTCTATTTTTCAAGGACAGAATTTTGGGTCATTTCTAACCCTATGCCTGGTGTTAACTCTTCACTCAATGTCTTATTTTTCTTGAAACCTATTAAAATACTACTTCATGTAAATTTTGTCTAAACTCTATTCTTTACTCAAAACCTAGAATATAACCCTGTGTTCCCCTGTCCTTTCTTACCAGAGATCAAACCTGGGGTACTCTACCACTGGGCTACATCCCCAGCCCTTTTCATTTTTTATTTAGAGACATGTCTTGCTAAATTGTTGAGACTGCCCTCAAACTTGTTATCATCCTGCCTCAGCTTCCCAAGTCTCTAGGGTTTCACATGTGTATCATTGTTCCCAACCTGTGGTTTCCTTTTTGGGAGATATAATTTTGCTTGTGTTACTCCTTTAAAGGAGAAAGAGTTAAGTTCAGCTTTTGTTTCTAGACTTGAATGACTTGAGAGTACTTTAATATGTGATGTATAGAACATGAATCTAAATAACAATACATTTAAAATTCTATAGAAAATTTTGTGATCATCCTTTAAGGACTGAGTATTTTGTCTTTTCACAAATAGCAACAAGACTTTTTGGTCATCCAACTCTCTTAGTTTCCTTATTTCTATGACTAAAAGATCCAGTTGACTTTGCAGATTTGCTATTTATTTGCTTCTGATCTTGTTTTTTAAAATTATGTTTTATCAAATAAATACTTGCTCATTTAACAATAATATAAACAGTCTGATCTCTGAGGTGGTCATATTTTTAGGTTTTGAATGCTGTTCTAAGACCAATTGGTCTTGGTCATTTTAGTAGTTTAAAAAAATAATTCTTTTAAAATTTGCTTCTTTGATACGTTAACTCTCTGATTTCATTATCCATGTCAGAAATAAACTTATGTGCACAATAAACTAATAAAAATGTAAAATTATCTCGATACTTTCCATGTCATTCAATATTGCAGTGGTTTATCATGGGAATAAATAAAAATGAACTGAAAATGTGAAGATCTGTAAGATATAGAATGAACAGATTTTTTTATGGTTATTCATATACAGAAAATAGTTATTTTTCATAAGTTGGTTGGATAGAGCAAATATTGTTTTTCATATTCTTATTTCAAAAAATTTTCCTAATAAAGTAGAAAGTGAAATGTAATAACAAATATAGCTTTTTCTCCTGAAAGAACTATTCTAACTCTTCTGTTTAGCCACACTTGCATAGGTGTTTTCAATTTCTTTGTCTTCAGGGCATGTGTGGGTAAATTCTTCACGTGCATAGGCATTGTGGAGATAGCGCCAGACTCCTGAGAATTCTGCTGGAATGTCAAAGTCACGGTATTTCTTGGCAGCAACCTACAATTTTAGAAAAAAAGTGGAAAAAGAAGATAATAGTAAAAGGCATCAGTAATATGACTATTATGTAGAAAGACATTTCAAAAATCAAGTATTATAAACTTAAAGAATCATGAATTTACTATTTTAACATTTTGTCTATAAATGTAGGCAACACTGAATGATTGGATCATGTTTATTTTGAGGCTATATTTAATTATGAGTACATTTACAAGAAGGGAACACAGAAAAGAAGAGCATTTTACCCTCACTGGACTGAGAGTTTAGTAGGGTCCTTATTATGTCATTTTCATGAACTCTCTTTGTCAGGAATAGAACACAGTAAATTCTGTGAAATTTCTGTTCAATAAATATTTAATAAATTAATAATTAAATCATCATATTATAATATGTTTTTTTACAGGAAAGTGATTAATTTTTATTGATTAACTTTTTTTGAATTACAGCTTTAATTATACCTAGTAGTTTGGTTCATCCCAATTGTTGATTAACTTTGCATCCTGCAATCCTGCTATAATCACTTATTTGTCGGGTTTTTTTTTTTACTAGTGGAATGAATTACATTCATAATTAACCACTCACAGCACGATTTTTCGTAACTCTGTATATAAAGTATGTTCACACCAAATTATGCCATTATATATGAGCTCTCTTTTTATTACAATTCTTAATACACATTTATACAACAAATTTATCAAATCTCTGTTTGTATATAAGGTATGTTGACACCAAATTCACATCTTCATATACAAATACATGAATTTTGTATAATGATGACCATCTTCTTCCACTTGGTATTATCTAGAGCACCATTCCAAGCATTTTTATACTTTAATTTATTGAATTTTCTCTTGATCATTCTGTGAAAAGAATGGTATTATTATTCTTATTCTGTAGACAAGATAGTGAAAAATACTTTTGGTTTAGGAAGAAAGAAGAACTTTTATCTGAAGAAAGAAAGGATGCTTCATGCTGGCAACTTACAAACCCCTCCCATACTATAGCAACCTGCTGTATAAAGACTTACTTTAATAATGTTCAGTTTGGGTAACAAGCTGCAGTCAGCCAGTGTTAGCTGATCCCCATCCAAGAACAATCTTTTGGAAACTCTGAGTTCCTCAGCATTGTCTGGATCAAATTCATCCAGAAGTGGGGTGTTTAAGTAGTCATCCAGACGCTTAAACTCTCTGAGCAGAGATTTTTCAAAATCTGAGGCAATTAAGTCATTACGTTATTTATAACTATATTATCCTCATATATACATTCTAAATATGCTTTTCACAATTTAGACATTTCTGTTTATATACATAGCTTATACTGGCTCTTGAACATCTACTTAATTATACAGAATGCTCAACTATTCACTGGTGAGACATAGATCAAATGGTGAGTAGCAATATATTGGATTTTCTTTGTGGAAGAGAAGTGGTAGGAGAGTCAGACAAAGAAAAGCAATATATGTTATCCAACAGATGAATCAGGAAGTGGAAGAAAGAGATATAGTTTTCCTGACTCAGAGGATAGTAAATTTATTAAAAAATGCTTGTGGGAAATGGTAGATGCTACAGTTTATGGATTCTGAAAGATGTAGCTAGTTCATATTTGACATATAAATGATTTAATTGAGATCTTTTGGTAATTGTGATATTAAATCTCAGATTTTAAATCTGATAAAACAATGCAAGGGAATATCAGAGGAGAGAATAAAACTGAGCAGAAGAAATAAACTGTTACCCAATATATATATACTATATATTCAGGAAAATCCTATTTTAGCTGAGTGAGAAGTGAGAAGGAGAAAAATAGAGACTTCAAGAAAGAAATCTTACTCTTATTTGCCTCCTTTTGTGTATTCTTAATGTATGCAGAGAACTTGGCAAAGAGATTGCAGCCCACATCAAAGGATTCCTTGTACTTGGGACTCAGGTGAGGATACCTTAAAAAGAAATACAAGTGAATTATAATTCACTTTATGTTCATTAAAGTTTATTAGGAAATTGGTGACTATAATTTTATTTACCTGTAGCAACAATGTTAAAAATGGTCTTAATTTCCCATACATGTTCCTAAAAGCTCATTTGTTACAAGATATAGAAAAGATGTGGATGTATAACCGACGTGATTCTGCAATCTGCATTTGGGGTAAAATTGGGAGTTCATAACCCACTTCAATCTAATGTATGAAATATGATATGTCAAGAGCTTTGTAATGTTGTGAACAACCAATAAAAAAAAATAAAAAATTTAAAAAAAAAGAAAAAAAAAGAAAAGAAACAACATGTTTCCAAAGATAAGTAGTAGAAAATATAGTGTCTCTGGTTTAATCCCTGGTACCAAAAAAAAAAAAAATGTAACTATGTGAGGTGGTGGATATGTTAAATTTTACAGTAGTAATCACTTCATTATGTATATGAAAACATGTTGTCTGAGCCCAGTTGCGCACACCTGTAATCCAAGGCACTTGAGAAGCTGAGGCAGAAGGATTGTAAGTTCAAAGCCAGCCTCAGCAAGTTAGTGAGGTGCTAAGCAACTCAGTGAGACCCTGTCTCTAAATAAAATACAAAATAGGGCTTGGGGATGTGGCTCAGTGGTCAAGTGCCCCTGAGTTCAATCCCCGGTACCCCACTCCCCTAAAAACACAAAACCCAAAAAACATCATGTTGCACAACTTAAATTTACACAATAAAAAATAAAGTTTAAAAAAATCAACTCCTGTTTTTTTTTTTTTTAAAAAAAGTAAAACCTCTTATTGGCAACTAGAAATGGTCAGGATGAAACTTAGGTATCTTCCTTGATTATCTATTTCCCTTCAAGATTATATTTAACCTATCAGCAACTGCAGTCAGCTCACCTTTCAAAATTTACCCAGAATCTGTTCACTTCTCATCAACTCCATTGTCCCTGTCTAGTAACCCTGTTTTACTGTAATAGCTACATGACCATTCTTATCCGATTCCCATGCTTGTCTGCCATACCTCTGGAATATCCTCCAACTGTAGCCAGAGCAATCATGTTAAAATAAAATGTAAATCATATCATGTCTCTTCTATATTCATTACTCTGCAGAAACCTCATCTCACTCAGATTCACAGCCCAGTTCCTTACAGTGATCTACAAGAACTGAAGTGATTTGATCCCATTGTACTTATCTGTTCTTATCTCTATCACTCACACACCTGTGACATTGACCTTCTTCAAATAGGCCTTACAGACTCCTACTCCAGGACCTTTTCTGTTGTTTGCCTTGCTCCCATTCTTCTGTTGGGTCGTTTTATCTGATATCTCCTTCTAATTGAAGGCTTTCTATGGACATTCCTTGCAATGCTGAAATCCTTCTTCTGTTCCTAACACCCACTACTTCCTTCCTTTGCTTTATTTTTTTTTTTTTTTTTTAATATTTTTTTTTTCAAAGAGAGAGTGAGAGAGGAGAGAGAGAGAGAGAGAGAGAGAGAGAGAACTTCAATACCTATTTTTTAGTTCTTGGCGGACACAACATCTTTGTTTGTATGTGGTGCTGAGGATCGAACCCGGGCCGCACGCATGCCAGGCGAGCGCGCCACCGCTTGAGCCACATCCCCAGCCCCTTTGCTTTATTTTTGTCTTTGGTATTTATCATCATCTAAAACAGTTTACATATTGGAGATAGAAGATGGCAGATTAGAAGAAGGATAAACTTCCTTGCAGTTCCTTATCACCCAATTTGCAAAGCAGTAAAACTGCTTCTCAGCAAGGTGTGTACTAAGGGAACTCACTGAAACTTAATACTGAACTGTAAAAGAAAACCGACACAGAAAGTCAGAAACTTGAGCATAATATAAGAAATAACATGTTAGAGATGTGCCAGCTTGGTTACCAGTAGCAGCAGTGGTGGCAGCTCAGAGGAAAAGATCTCTAACATATTTTTGGAAATGAAAGTTACAATAGATCAAATTAAAAATCAACTTAAAAGCATCACTAACAGATTATATTCTTTAGAAAACAGAACTTCAGTCCTTGAAGACAACATATATCAACTTGAGTATATAATATGCAACAAAGGAAAAAGATACAATATGATCAGAATATAAAAAAACTCTCGGACAATATCAAGAAACCATACCTAAGACTCACTGGGAAAAAAGAGAATATAGAGATACAGGTCAAAGGCATTAAGAATATTTACAATGAGATGTTATCAGAAAAAAATCCCCATAATAGAAATGAGATAGACATCCACATATAAGATGAATACAAAACCAAAATAGACCAGATCAGGAAATAAATCTTTCCAAAACACACCATAATCAAAATGCCTAATATATTAGTCATGGTTCTCTAGAGGAACAGAATAGACAGGAAGTATAATTACATAAAGGGGACTTATTAGGTTGGCTCAAGCGACCAGAAGCTGGATAGTCCACCATGGCCATCTGCAGGCTGGAGAGCTGGAGGAACCAGTCGCTGGCTGCACAGTCCAAGAGGCTGAAGCCTCAGAACAAGAGGGATTAATGGTGCTACCCTAGTCCAAGAACAAAGGCTTCTGGGGAATCACTGGCAGAGTCTGCTTTGGAAGAGTGAAGGAACGAGTGTCTGATATCTTCACAGGGTCTCAGCAGCAATCAAGCTTGCATTTGCTGCTGTTTCCTTATTCTTCCAACCTTTATTCCATCCAAGCCATCATCCTATTGGATGGTTCTGCCCACTCTTAGGGAGAGTCTCCATTTCAGTTGGCTATCCCACATGCCAGTCATTCCTACACACACCCTCATCAATACACCATAAGCCTCTTGATCCTTGGCATCTCTTAATCCAATCAAGTTGACAATTCAGATTGACCATTACACCTAACATAGAATATCAAAAGCTGTAAGAGAGAAACACCAGGTTACATTTAGAGACAAATCAATAAGGCTCACTTCTGATTTCTCAACTCAGACTCTAAAATTAAAGAGGACCTGGAATGAGGTATTACAAGTTCTAAAAATATTGCCAGGGGGCTGTGGCTTTGGCTCAGTGGTAGTGCACTTGACTGGCATGTGTGAGGCACTGGGTTTGATTCTCAGAGCTGCATATAAATAAATAAAATAAAGATCTATCAATAACTAACAAATATTTAAAAGAATTGTCAGGCAAGCTTACTATATCTAGTAAAGCTATCTTTCGAATTGATGTAAAAATAAAAACTCTGCAGGATAAGGATAAACTAAAATAATTCACTAAGAAGAATTCACCACTAATCCAGAAATACAAAGAATATTTAAAGGCAAACAGAAGAATTCAGAAACAAAAGCTCTCAAATAGATGAAGCTCACTAGAAGAAAAAAATAACTAAATAAAAATCAAGATAGAATTAAATAAGCAAAGAAACTAAAATGACAAGAAATAAACACCTATCCATAACAACACTGAATGTAAGTGGTCTTTGTTCCCCAAATAAAAGACACAGATTAGCACAAAGAATCAAAAAACCAAGATCCAACTCTATGCTGTTTGCAAGACTCATAGGCAAAGACACTCACAGTCTGAAGGTAGAAGGATGGAAAGAATATTCCAATTCAAAAAGAGTTAAAAAAAGCAGGAATAGTTATTCTCATATCTGTCAAATTAAATTTCAAGCAAAAATGAATCAGGAAAGACAGATAAATCCTGATAAAGTGAACAATCCAAGAAGAAGATATGATCATAGTAAATATATATGGCCCAAATGTCAGAGTACCCAAGTACATAAAAAGCTCCTTAACATTAAATCTCAGTTAGATCCAATACAATATTACTGGGTGATTTCAACCCACTCTTATTACCAAAGACATGTCATCAAAGCATTAAATCAATAAAGATATTTCTGACCTAAATACTATAAATCAAATAGACCTAAAAATATCTACAGAATATTTTGCCCACAAACAGCAGAATTTACCTTGTCACCTCATGGAATCTTTTTCAAAATAGAGCATAATCTATATAATTCTGTGTATTCTATCAGATCATAATGGAATGAAGCTAAAAATGAACAGCAAGAAATATAATAGAAACCACAAACACATGGAGATCGAGCAATAATCTTTTAAATAAAGAATGGATCAAAGAAGAAATGGGAAAAGAAATTCTTGGAAACTGGGCACAGTGCAGCACACCTGTAATCCCAGTGGCTTGGGAGACTGAGGCAGAGGATTGCCAGTTCAAAGCCATCCTCAGCAAGTGAGGTGCTAAGCAACTCAGTGAGAACCTGTCTCTAAATAAAATACAAAATGGGATTGGGGATGTGGCTCAGTGGTTGAGTGCCCCTGAGTTCAATCCCTGGTA